AGGGGCGCCGCCGAGAGAAGCAGGGAGCCGGGCAGCCCGCGGCTTACGGAGGGTAACGGCCCGAACCCCGGCCGCGGTTCCCCTTCCCGCCTTCCCGACTCCTCTCGGGCGGGAGAGGACCCCGAGGCCCAGCGGGGAGGATGGGGGGTAGGACCGAGAGGGCCCTGGACCCCAGCTCTGGAAGCTAGCTTGATTTTGGAGGGGTGGGATTCCGGTGGTGTGCACAATCGTGGGTGAGGACCTCGGGGCGTGAGGGCGTGTGGGGTTTGCGATCCCTTCCCAGCTGCTCCATGTCACCGAAATGCGTTTTTCTGCAGCCGGAGGATGGGCCAGCCACTCGGACGGCCCGCGGGCGGACGTGGAAGTTCGCGGCGGCCCGTTTTTTTTGCCGTCTCAGGCCAGCATCAGCAGCCGAGGTTGCAGGAGCCTCTGCTCTAGGCCTAAGAGAGGGAGAAAGAGAGAAAGGGAAGCTTCATCGTCAGGTCGCTCCTGGGTTTGGGGCGGCCGCTAGGACCCCTGCAACTCTGCAAAGACCCTGAATGTCTTGATCTTGGGGGCCCAAACTTCCCATTCTCTGAGCTATGAAGGTAAACGAAGCCCAGGCGAGCTGAGGTCCCGGCTATGCTGCTGCTTTGGGGCGAGGCGTCTAGGTTTTTTGGAGGGAGTAGTTTTTCCGAGATTTACACAAACCCTTTACTGCTTCGAGTTATCCAGCACTCTAGTCTGGAGGAAAAGCCTGTGGTGCCAGCGAAATGCTAGGGAAACGGGCTTAATCTAAATGGCAGAGCGTCCTGTACCAACTCAAAGGAGTTCAACAATAAAATTAATTTAGCACTTGGTGCCTGCAGTAACTGGTGTACTGCCATATTTTTCCAATTAAGAAAATATGTGGCATGCGTAGAATCACATATTTAAGCAAGCAATTAAGTTGTTTATAACACAGTCTGTTCCTGGTTAGGCCGTTAAGTGGAAATTTGGGGGCAAAATAGAGATTATATTAAGTCTATTAATCAACTCGAAATTAGGACATCTTTCTCTTTGAAGCTCTAAAACTTTGAGGGCAGGGGACTATGTGGATGACAAGTAGACAAAGCCTTCCCTCACCCCTTTGGCTGAAACTGAAGGGTGTGTTTTTATATTTAAATTTCAGTACGACATCAGTGAAAATATTTTCCTATTAAATGTGACCCCTAGTATTTGCTATAATGTCATCCACTTCCTTCCTGAAGGGAGGATAAATGTTCACAAAACGAACTCGAACTCGGAAAACTAGAAATGCAGGGACGGGATGCTTAAGGTCATAGCAGGCAGAATGGCAGGCTGGGCTGAGACCTAGGGGTTCTTCCTCCCCAGGACCTGACACTAGGTCCTTCTACATTTGGGAAGTGATGAAATTTGGAAAGTGATGTCAGGGGGCCCTGTGCAGCTTTCTGGCAGGAGATCCACAATTCCAGGCCCTTGGGGGCATCAACACCCCAGAAGGTGAGGTTCTAGTTCTGATCCTCTGACAGTCACAGTTCCTAGGATTGTTGATTTCCATGGCCAGGGTAGGTATTAATTTTTCTCCAGATTGGGTCTTCTGGAAATAATTTTTAATACTGATGCTGATGGAGATCCTGGGCTGGGAAGAACTGCAAACCCTTGACAATCTAGACTCAGGTTTCACATCTTAAGAACGGGCATTAAGGATCCAGGAAGATCTTGTATTAATACTGGCTTCCCTGATGACCCTTGACTGTAGTTTCATTATATGAAAATACACGCATGTATCTGTTTTCATCCGCCTCGGATGAGTCTGTATGCTGCCACTACGCAGAGCTTGTGTTTTTAAAGGGAAGCGGACAGGAAAGTAGCAACGGATGCGTGCAAACCCAGTGCAGAAAAAAATGCATATTTTATTAAACATCCGAGCTGCTGGATGCATGAAAAGGCTTTGAGCAACCAATAGAAACCGAGGACCGCGAATGTTCCGCGTGAACCTGTTGATCTCTGTGGGTTTAAACGTTTGGGGTCGAGTCTCTTTTCACCTGGGAGGGAGGAGAGAAGAGAGGCAGTGGTCGGTTTTGCAGGTCACTTGAGGCTGGTTTTCCGCCTCTTGCCTTCTGTCCGGGTGTGGGAGGCGAGCCCTCCAGGCCGCCAACATGGCGTGGGCGACTGTGCTCGTGCGACCTTGGTCCAGCAGGGAAGAGGACCAGCAGTGCCTGGCTGCCCGTGGGACCTTTCTCAGGGTCTGGTCCGAGCTCTTGAGCAACACCGGGCACCCGGAATGCGGTTCGCTGTGCCACGTAGCACCCGGGTCTTGTTCTCTGGCTGCGACCCTTCGACCCAATTGTTCCTAAATTAGAACAGTAAGTTTGCCGGAGGCAGAGAGCCAGCAGCCGGGAGAGCTGGCCTGAGAACCCGCCAGCCCTCTGGGAATGGCCGGTGTGAGAGGCCGGTGCGTGGCCTCGCGGAGCCCTCCCGCGACTCCGCGCTCTGTGAGAGGCCCAGCGTGGCGCTTTTTCTTTCTGTGAGCGCGTGGGACTGAATGAGTGCGGGGAAGGGTGAGTGGCAAGCATGTGGTGCTTGCAGGAGAGGGCAAGGGACCGAGGAGGTGAGGCGGTGAGCTAAGGCCAGAGAGGCCGAGATGGATGGTTGAATGCTCACCCAGCCAAGGGGCAGCCACCCAGACTTGACCTTTGCGAGTCTCCTGGATCCTCTTCCTCTGGGTAGGGCCATAGGGTGGAAGGGGATTTCACCAGAAGGAAGAACCCTCTACTGTTCTTTGACACAAATTTGGTAACGGGATTTGCGTGCTGTTTTTGTCCGTGTGTATGTGTGTGTGCGCGCGTGTGTGTGTGCGCGCGCGTGTGTTGGTGTGTGCGCTTGTGGACGAACGTGTGGCCCCGTGCGTGGTGCCCCCTCCAGTGTCCCCGGAGCTGAAGGATCGCAAAGAGGATGCAAAGGGGATGGAGGACGAAGGCCAGACCAAAATCAAGCAGAGGCGAAGTCGGACCAATTTCACCCTGGAACAACTCAACGAGCTGGAGAGGCTTTTTGACGAGACCCACTATCCGGATGCCTTCATGCGCGAGGAGCTGAGCCAGCGGCTGGGGTTGTCGGAGGCTCGAGTACAGGTATCCGGCTTTGAGAAGGTCTAGACTGAGCCGAGAGCGGGGAGGGGATATTCCTGGGGTTAGAGAGGTGACTTCAGACTCACAACATTGGTTCCTGTTCAGATGTCTGGTGTGATCTGAGAAGGCAAGGGATATCTTTACTAGAAGTCTTATTTTCCAAAGTAGATCCTAATCCTAGAGCCTTTTCCCTCATCCCAACATATGTTCCCAGCAGAAGAAAGCTGTGCTGGGCTTACTCCCAGAGTTTCCATAAACCACACCCCCCTCGCCTAGTGCTAGCTTTAATGTGGTTTAATCCTAATGGGCCTACTTTTATAAGCCTTAAAAAAGATCCCACAGAAAACGTTTTATCTCTGGATGCCTTAAAAGTTACAATGAGGATTTTGTTTGCCTCAATTGGGTTCCATTTAGGGTCTGTTTTGGGGTCTAGGTTTGCCAAGCGGATATACCAATTAGGTTTATAGATGTGCAGACTATAAAGAAAATTAGCAACTGTTAAGTGCAGAAATTTACAGTCTGCCATAAGCATTAGATCTCAACTGTGTGTGAAATAGTGGAACAGATAAATACATTTTAGTCACTCTTTGTTCGTTTGCTTAACTAGGGCAATGAGCCTGAATGTACAGAAACTCAATTTAAAAAAAAAATAGATCTTAATATTGGCATTTCCTAAGTCTGACCCTCAGCAAATGCCCCACCCGTTGAAGTTAGGTTGAAGCAGATTTTCTTTATTGGTTGTGGAGGTGAATGTAATAGCATAAGTAGGCTTGGGGTCTTTTTTTTTGGGGGGGGAGGGAGAATTATATGCATACATATCCTTCCAGTTTATGGAGAACAAATTTAAATGTTTTGGAGTATTTCTGCTCAAATAATAAATAGGAGAAAATGATGGTCATTATTTGAACACATGGAGCAGTTTTAGGCCCGAACATCTGCAGCTGTTACAAAGTACCCCTGTAACAGATACTCCCTTGGTCTCTGGGCGCAGAGACCACCATCTGTAGCGAACTATGCGCAATTCTTATGGGGCTTCCCCGCATCTTGTAATAGGATCAGGAAAAAAAAAAACCAGAGCAGTCACGTTGAAGAAGAAAAGTAATAATAGGCAGCCTTGGTCATCACAGCTTCAACAGCAGAACCTTTCTTTTTAAGCCTCTTCTGCTTTGCTCTGTGCTCTGAGATCTCTAGAGGCCCAGCAACCTCTTAAAAACATGATGATAATTATTGCAGTTATGAGTATTAGTATCTCAATTCCAACTCTTGTAGAGAAAAAAAAAAAAAAAAAGAGGCAAGAAGCCTCAGGCCATGAGAATTACACAAAGGATGCCACCCTGGCACAAAATCCACCCTCCTATTATACTAAATAGCAGGGGAATTTTTGAAGATTTACATCAACTATGACATTGCTTTCGAAATATACCAGAAAAAAAAGCTCTGAAGCAAGATTTTACTTTCATGAGTTTTTATAAGCATTAATTTGTGACTCAATCAATATGCTGTGTTATTGGAACTAGAGTGTAAAAGAAAACTATGTGACTTGTAAAACATCAGTTATTCTGCCTTTAAAAGTTGGCAAGTTTGTATAAGAATGTAATATCCAGGAGAGGGTAGTTTTCAAGAGCTACTTGATTCATATCCCATCTCTTTCCAAGGAGTGTTCTTTTTTTCTCTAAAGAAGTGAACTTAGTGTTGGTCTTTATTTTTTAAATGCTTTTATTTAAGTTTCAGGGCTATTTTCTAGATGCTACTATCTTAACTGCAAGCAGCAGCTTTTTCTATAGAAGCAAATTAGATTATCATGATAATGGCACAATTATTCTGCTACTGTGTTACACTCTGCTGCACAGAGGAACATAGAAATTCTAAACTTCTTTGTAGTGAGGCTTTTATGACACTAATTACCTCACACCTCCCCCCTTACAATTTCCTCCCCCCCCCCAAAAAAAAGAAGAGTCATTACTTGCTTTGGTGTATGTTTTTTCTTTAAGATGAAGCTAATTAATATTACAGACTATTAATGAGCATGTTCTACTCAGGTCTTAACTGGGCAAACATCAAAACCCATTATCCCACTGGTAGCAGGTACCAGGGAGGATTTTAGGCCTTGGAGAGTCTGTTATGTGGAAAGATGAAACCAGGACCAGTAGTAATTTATCAAGAAACAATTTACCTTGCAAAAGTCAATGAAATCTATAGTTTTATTTCTGTAGTTCATTTATATTTTTAACTTTGACAACTGAGTCTGTTTTATATAATTCAAAGATCACTTGCCAATCTCTCAGTCCTGGCCTAAAACCCTACTCTTTTCTCATTGTACTCTTATAATTAAAACAAACAAACAAACAAACAAAAAACTAAACTAAACTTTTTTGAGTCCTACATGCAGACTTTTTTTCCCCCTTTCCAACGTGTAGGTTTGGTTTCAGAATCGAAGAGCGAAATGTCGAAAACAAGAAAATCAACTTCATAAAGGTATGCTTTTCATACAAGGAATCTTTGGTATTCTACATCGAGAAGTAGAGGTTTTTTACTACAAAGACAAAAAGCCTGCAGAAATGACAATGGTCCTTGACTTCAGAATCTTCTCTAAATGCACTTTACTGAGAGTCTTGAAGTTTGAGAGTAAATGACTTCTATTTTAATTATGGTAGCAGTTAAGAAAGGTGACAGTCCAATTCCAAATAAATTAGATTCATCTTGGTACCACTTGGAACTCTGAAAAACAATGATGAAAATATTAGCCTCACTCACTGTATTTTGTTTCCCTATGTTTTTCAAGGTGTCCTCATAGGAGCTGCCAGTCAGTTTGAAGCTTGTAGAGTTGCACCCTATGTCAACGTAGGTGCTTTAAGGATGCCATTTCAGCAGGCAAGTACAGCCTCATTTCAAACTATTTTTAAATGTAAAAAGACCTGGATTCTTGCTTAAACCCTTGAACATACCCTGTCCCTGAGACCCAATGTAGGTGTTCATGCAGCTGGAAAATCTATTTCGAGATAATATGATGGACCCAGTCCCTTTTAAAAACCCATACACTCTAAAGAACTTGAATGCCTCATCAGTTTTGCTCTTCTGGGAACTCTGCAAGGGGCCTGAGGGCAGGAACTGGTCCCTTAAAAATGCACTAAAGATTGCACTTGGGAAGAGGAAGGAAAAACCTTTTGATTAAAATTTTGTCAGATACAACACAGAGGTTAGCCCTAAAGTGTTTCTAAAGCAAACCTCTAAATAGTTTTCTAGGTATTTTCTCCCTTTTAGTCACATTAAATGTCTCTGACAGATGAAAAATAAATACAAGTACTCCCAACTCAGACTTGTTTTTTTAAAGCTGTCTCTGCCAACAAAGCTTTATCTCTGGAAGAGAGGGAAACCTTGGTCTTCCCAGGGCTGCCCTTCCTTTGCAATCCCTTTCTCAGTCATAAAGAAACCTTTAAGACTACATTTTAAAAGGACAGCCTGCAGCAATGATTTAATCCTCGGAAATCCCAGTGCTCTGAACTCCCCGCTCTCCAAGCCTGAGGGCGAAATCCTTTCCCAACCAGCTCCTGACCTTCTCCATCCTCAGCCAAGACCCTGCCCAGCATGGCTATGATGTCATGAACTAGCTCTCAGTCACCAGCACTCTGGACTGGGGAGACACCTGTGTGTCATGTAGTGAGAGTTCATGCTAGGGAGATCTTAGTTCTTTTGAAACAAGAGAATGACTGGACAAAGAGGGAGGAGGCACCTTGAAAGGAGACTCTTACTACTCAGCAAGTCTTCTAGCCAGCAGCATCAGCGCCACCTGGGAGATTGTTAAAAATTCAGAATCTCAGTAGGTTTTGAGTAAGAATCTGCATTCAGAACAAGATCCCCAGGTAATTCTTAAGACAGTGATCAATAGAAGTACTACCTCACAGTTTTGTGTCAAGTGTGGTGAAGATGCAATAACTTCCCTAAGTGACATGAAAAACTTTTGTGGTTTGCTTGTTAGCGCTTAAGTGTTTTAGTAATGGAATACAAGGTGTATGGCGGCATCAGGAGAGGAGAGAAACAGCCCCCACGCCCAGTCTTGCCAACACACCATTGTTATTTTGAGAGAGGTGATCCTTTAGCACAATAGCAATGTGCCCACATTCCTGCAGATGGGGGTTCTCAGTGCCCAGGGAAATAAGCACACACTGAAAGAGTTGCAGAGACCCAGGGGCACTGGAGTATCTTTGTGACGCCCTAGTTTCAGCAACAGGCTGAGAAGGTTACTCTTCGATAAGATGCGCAAACACCCCCTCCCAATCCCTCTCCCTATTCCCTCCCCGGACAAGCTGGACGCCGTTAATGCTCTGTTTCTATTCTGTTGTCACCCTAGGATAGTCATTGCAACGTGACGCCCTTGTCCTTTCAGGTTCAGGCGCAGCTGCAGCTGGACAGCGCCGTGGCGCACGCGCACCACCACCTGCACCCGCACCTGGCCGCGCACGCGCCCTACATGATGTTCCCGGCGCCGCCCTTCGGACTGCCGCTTGCCACGCTGGCCGCGGACTCGGCCTCCGCAGCCTC